CCTTCAACAAAGTCTCTGCCTGGGGATTCTGGGGCTCCCGGGGTATCCTGCGGTCAGCCCCACCGGCGTGTCGAGCCCAGGAGGCCGAAGAGGGCGTCACTCAGGGCTCCGGGCGTGAGGTCACCTCTTACTTCCAGGACGCAAGCCTCCTGCTCGCAGTGTCTCCCCACACCCTGAGGCCCCGGGCATGGTGCCTGGCACAGGGGCCTTCTCCTGTCCACGCCACAGGTGGACAGCTCGTGCCTCTCAGGCCAGTTTGGAGCTGGCCCGGAGCACAGATATGAGCGACACGTCAGACAGCCAGGAATGGGGTGTGCGTGCCCCCGAGAGGACCCCCCAGAGGCACTTCCTGGGCCAGCTGAGGGACATCCCCTAGTAAAACTCGAGATGCCAGGTCGTGATGGCCACGTGTGCAGAGTCGGGCCCCTCGCCCCTTGGGCTTGCCCGGCGCCCGCCGCCCGCCCGGCACCTCCAGCCTCCCTGTGCCCCGCAGGCTGTTCGACGTTGGGGGCCAGCGATCGGAACGCAAGAAGTGGATCCACTGCTTCGAGGACGTCACGGCCATCATCTTCTGCGTCGCTCTCAGCGGCTATGACCAGGTGCTCCACGAAGACGAGACCACGGTGAGTGGCGCGGGCCGCCGGGCCTGGGGGCCGCGGGTGGGCCGTGCGTCCTTGCTGTGGGCGAAGGCCAGGCCACGAGGGCGGCCACAGAGCCACACGCGGCCGCGCTGGGCGTCTCTGCACGGCAGTCTCGGGCAGTGGCGCCGCTTCCGGGCACAGGGGGCGCCGAGGCCGTGGGTGTCGTCAGTGGTGGTGGTCTGGGCCGGGGCGGGCCGCTGAGCAGTCCCGTCCGTCCAGGGTGCAGCCCGCGGGGCTGAGGCCTCTCCATCCGCGGAGCCCGCGCAGAGAAGCGGGGTTCTGTGGGCGCCCCCAGAGCCGGCCGGGGGCCGCGCGCAGGCCGCCTCCACTCTGGCGCCGCCGTGCGCTCGTGAGTCCCCGCGTGCTGGTGCCCTGGGCTGGTGCCCAGCGGGGCCGCGGGCGTGACTGGGGTGCAGTGCTGGGGGCCGCGCCGACGCCTTGCTGAGACCCGCGCCGAGTTGAGGCCGAGGCCGGGGCTGGGTGGGGACCCCGACCCCCCACGCCGCCGGCCCACCTGACTTCCGTGCCCTGAGCCGGGCTGTGTGCGGTGACTTCGTCCTCATTCTCCTGGACCCGGACGGGGCGTCTGACCGCTCGCAGGGCCGCGGGGCTCGCCGCCCCGCGGGTCGACTCTGTTCCTTCTGAGCCACTGTTCACCGTCTGCTCGGCCCCCCGTGGCCCGCGTGCCACTTGGCCCTTCCTCCCTGCAGCGCCTGGGGCTGGGAATCGGGGCTGGTGCGCAAGTGTGACGGTCTCAAAGGACACGGAGGTCTGGAGGCTGCAGGGCCCGAGGGCTGGCGTCCCTGAACCGGCCTGTCCCCTGGGAGCTTCAGGCCTCAGGGGGCGCTTGCCCAGCTCTGTGCGGGCTTGGCAGCCACAGGACCCCGAGTTCCGTGGCCTTCGGCCTCCAGTGAGGGGGGGGCCCTGGGGGGCCGTGTGGTGCCACGCCCGAGCCCGGGCAGCCTGCCCGTCCGCCACGCCCAGGTCGGCTCCGAGTCCTGCAGCTGACGGGCCGTGTCCTGTACCACTTTCTCTCCGGGCGCCTCTGTCTCCTCCTCTCCCCACCTTCTCCCTGCTCCCCCTGCCCTTCTCCCCAAGGGCTGGAGCAGAGGACCGCAGGAGGCAAAGGCGCCGGGGTCAGGCCTGGCTGCCCTTCAGCCACAAGCAGGCCGCCTGTGCCACCAGGACAGCACGGCCCCTCCAGGCACAGGAGCTGACTTCAAGCCTGACGGCAGCCCTAAACGCCACCTTGCGGGGAGCAGCGAGGAGCAAAGGAGGCAATCCTAAGCAATATCTGTGAAACCCCAAAGGCTCAGAGCTTCGAGGAGCTTAGGGACGGGCTCACCCACCCTCTGTCGTGGTACATATGGGATGGGGAAACTGAGGCGATGCGCATGGCTGCCCCCAAGCACAGATTTCCTGTGTCCCCTGCTGGGGTGACCCCCATGCACAGAGGCCCAGGAGCCACCCCCTGCCTTCCAGGTAAGATTTCTGGGAGTCAGGTGAAGCAGGAGG